GTGACTCTTTCATGTAGAAACGAACTGAGCCAAGAGCTTAATATACATGTTAGAATTAATAGATTCTAATTATAATTATGAGCTTTTGGATGAATGTGATTGATTGTATAATTTCCTCTGAACTTTAATATCATCTTCAACATAATTTGCTGATTAATAACCATTGATGTCCATGGCTTTAGTTTTTACTCTGCCCTCTTCTTTCTTCTTGACAAGGACATTCTGATTATTCAGCTATTATTATCTAAACAAACACAAGCTTTTATTTGACAGCTAAATAAACTACAGGGCAACCACCGTCAAGTGTTTCTAATTAGAACACTTATGTCAAGTTATTAAATCATACTCAAAAAATAATATTTTTATCTATATTAAGTAAACATGAAAGTTTCTAGAAAAATAATCCAAATGCAAATAAAACAGCTTTGTTGGCTAAAATACAATATGCACAACTATCTTAGTTCTTCCCAACTTTCTGTTAAGATTATGCTCTCATTTGGGTTCATTGTACATGTTTCATGATAAGGGTCACATTTGCCAAATAAGGGACCAAGTGCAGTTGATTGTTCTAGTCCTGATCATTAAATGCGGACCCAAAGACAAAGATTTTAAGTTCAGAATACCCCTGGGGGAAATCCATGTATGGGTGACTTCTAAAAATAGTTATTTGAATGCTATCCTGTTCACTCAACATTTGTAGGACCTGATTAAATTGCTGTTCTTAGCTGAGGTAGTGATTCAAAATAGAAAACAAGATAAAAAAAAAATTCTTCTTTTGTTTACCTTTTCCGTTCAGTACCCTGTCATGGGGCCAAACATGGCTCTCCGTCTGACTCCAGCCTCCATGAACTGGGCCTTAATTGGCCATACATTATGAGCTGCAGGTGTTCATCTGAATTCAGATGGAGCCAAATGCAGTGACTGCTGAAATAAAAGCAGTAATGGATAAGAACTGAGAGTGGCATCGCCAAATCATTCAAATAAAGTCCAGAATTCCATTTTTACATTGCATCAGTCAGTCATCCCTCAAGTCACATTGACTGGATTTTTAAAAATCTTTATCTGAAGTAAAATCATTCAGGTTTTTTTTGTTTTGTTTTTTTACTGAAGCTTTTAGTTATCTTGTTTTGTTTAGATTGTTCTTTGCCTGGTGGTAGCATGGTCATAACAACAGTGAGCTCTCTCATCTGGGTCATGCTGGGTTCACCGAAGGTTAAAGCGGCTAAACCTTAAAAGACAAGGGATTGAAGCTTTGTTGAGCTTCAGATTCTTTTTTTTTTCCAGTTTACTAAATCCATAATCTCCAGCCCTGAATTTCTTTCACTGAAGAAATTTCCATAATGGCAGTTTATTTTTATAGTCACAGTCTTACAGGCGACTCGTCTTCCATGCCTTTTTTTCCAGAGAAATTCACAGGGCAAAATGGGACAGGTGACGGCTTTGCAAATGTCAAATTACAATTTCAGTGCTGACTCATGAGAAAAAAAAAGTTTAGGGTTGACTAAGGAACTTCATGAGCATTGCATTATACAGGGCTAATTAATCCATTGAAGACAAGATAGACATCTGACATTCTTTGGGTGTCTTTACGCATCCTCAGTTAGGAAACTTCACATTCTTCTCAACTTTCAGTTTTATTCTTCCCCTCCCTTAATTTACAGCTAACTCTGCTCATATTCATTCATAATACTGCCATTTTCTTCTTTCCTGCACTATGAAAGTAAGATATTAAATGTAAGGTGGATGTTTAAATATTGGTAGCTGACTGAAATCAAATAATTCATTGAACGTTACAAGGAAACAGGCTTGATCTTTAATGTTGGTCCATTTACAGAATTGTTACTGGATACAACAACATTATTATGAACATCTGATAAGTATTATAGCCAATATTATAACCCTCTGAGTGATTCCTTAAGTTTATTTAGTTTTTTTTTCTTTTGAGTCACCATTATCTATTCTTCCTCCCTCTCTCTCTCTCTCCCTCTCCCTCCCTCCCTCCTTCCCCCCCTTTCTTTTGGACAGGTGAGGGGGGGGGTTGAGATAGATTTTAGAAATAGCAAGTTTCCCCCAACTTGCATGGTTTAAATTGACTCTGGATCAGGTTTCTGCAAATCTATTGTAGGGTAAATGAATTAAGGGGGCGATGAACTGAATGCTATGTAATTAATGGTTAGTTTGACACATGGGCCAAATTACATGCTATTTAAAGCTGTAGTTGACAACTATGCATTTTCTGCCTTTTTTTCTATAGAGCAGGGGCGGGAGATCCAATTTGGGTAAGATCCCTATAATGAATATGGGAGTTTTAATCCACTGCCTGCTACTGCAGTCACAATAGTTTCTGAGATCTCTTATAGTTAAGTTTTTGTTTGCAAAAAACTATTCACATATCTTAATGGATAACATTTTTTGCAAATACATAAAAGATTCATATAAATGTTCATCTAAGAATTATAGTAAGGAGCCTTCTTTCCTCCACCCCATGCTGTCAGCATCTTTAAAATAACATGCAGTTGGGCATTGAGAAATGTTGTTTTATTGAAATTGAAATTGAAATTAAATCCTTTCATTGCTTCCTGGAATACAGATGAACAGCTGAAGGAAACATGTTATACTAATGAATTTGCCTATTGACTCACATATGCATTTATTGTGTATATAACTAGCAGAGGGGAAATTATGTTTTATTACAACTCCCGTAATCCACATCCAGAGATCATACTGGTTGAGGAAAATAAAAGGTGTAATCCAATTTATTTGGAGATCATAACAGTTATTTTCCTTGGACTAACAGAATTATGTTTGAGAAGAGAGAGTAGCTTTTTCCTGGTAGTAAAATGCGCTTTTGAATGCAAAGTTTAAGATACAGAATTTTTAAATTTATTTATTGGTTCGATTTATATGCTGCCCTTCTCTGGAGACTCAGGGCGGCTTACAATGTGTTAAGCAATAGCCTTCATACTTTTGTATATACCTGCTTAGTAGGGCTTTTGGGGCCCCCTAAGCGGGGTTCTTTTTTATACAAAGTCAGCTTATTGCCCCCACAATCCGGGTCCTCTTTTTACCTACCTCGAAAGGATGAAAGGCTGAGTCAACCTTGAGCCTGTTGAGATTTGAACTTGCAGGAATTGCAGGCAGCTGGTGTTACTTAATAGCACTTTAGTCTGCTGCACCACCAAACTTTCAAAACAAAAACAGAAACAAGGACAATATATATATTTTGCAGGGAATTAAGGGGTGAACTGAGTTTAAACACTTGCTAATACTTAAGGACAGGGGTGGGCAGCTGGGGGTTCGGAGGGGTTTGGGAGAACTCTAGCTAAGATTCTGTGCAGTTTGGAGAACCCCCAAATCCCACTCCTGGCTGGCCCCACCCACCCTGCCCTTCCCAGGAGTCCCCACGAGGCCCATTTTGGATGCAGATAAGTGCAAGGTGTGCGCTGGGGCTCAGGGAAGGCGAAAAAGGGGCCTACCAGAAGTTCGGGAAGGCCGGAAACTGGCCCGATTCCAGCCTTCAGAGAGCCTCCAGAGCCTGGGGAGCCCGTTTTCGTCCTCCCAGAGGCTCGAGGAAAGCCTCCGGAACTCAGGGAGGGCAAAAGCACACCCCCAAGGTGCAGGAGGCCGACTAGACCACGCCCACCATGGTCATGCCCACCCAGCAACCGGGCAGAGAGCCCTTTGCTAAAATTTTTGAAGCCCACCCCAGTTTAAGGAGGCTACTGTCCGGCCTTCTCCCCCCCTTCCCCCTTAGCAGTCGGAAACCGAAAATAAAATGCTTTTTTCTCCCTCTAGTTTAAAAGATTTTTAAATTCTATAAGGCCCAAGCGATCAATCTCTTCCCTTAAAATCATTTTACTCCTCCAAATGAAAAATATTTCAGACCTGATGGCCCTGAAGTTTGCCCAGTTATTATAAAGATGCTTGTGTCAGTGAGAAGTGTCTTTTGATAGAAGATCCTTATTTCATAAAGGAGAAAACCACTACATGCTGCTATTCTGCTGTTCACCTAAGAAATAGTTTTATTTATTGTAGTTATTATTTCATATCTTGACTCCCTGTGTTTCAGCCTTGTAAAGCTTAAGTTGTAAAGCAACTTAAATGGAGACATGCATCTCAATAGCTCCTACTTCAGTATTCATAATTCCAGGGCAGAAATTACAGAAAAATTAAATGTAGGTTTTATCAATGATGTATAATCCCTCCAGTGCTAAATTATTTAAGGATGTGGCCTAGTTTTGAAGAATAAGGCAACTTGTTTAAGAAGTCACCTATCAACCTGCACCATCAGGAAACCAAACATCTGGTAGTGACTCAGTCAGCCCAGTGAATCCGAGATACCAACAATTCATGTTGGTTCTTGCAGATCCCTATTAAAGCATTCCAAAATCCTGCAGAACTCGACTGGGCTATTTAAGCCTGCATGCAAACCAAAAATGTTGCCTGCTTTTGTTTGTTTTGTGCCAGCAACCACACATGCTTTTTGCCTTCACAAAATAATTAGATGGACTTTCACCCAATTCCTGCATCTTGAAGCAAGTTACAGTTTGAAGCTGTTTTCCCTCTTCTGTATTTCTTCTTAACTTTTTAGAATCGGGATTGCTTTTACAATTTTAGCATCCATTTTTTCACGTTAAAAGATTTTGCGGGTTCTTTTATCAAACCAACATGTATCCTATAACAAAAACAAAAAAAAACAAAACAAAAACATCCTGGAAGCAATCACAGCCAGTAAAAGTTACTTCAGCTTTCTCTATTTCTCAACAACTAGATCTCCTTAGTAGCACTATGTTCTTAATCAAAATGGTAATGTAAATGAAGATATTTTGTGTAGACCAGTAATGCAAGAAATTCTACAGGATTAGACTGCTGTGGTAGCTGAAATATTCCATGAACTATACAATAATTAAAATTGGGGACTTTGGGTTAATGGAAACGATCATCATTTTGATTCCAAGATAATAACACTTCTTTTTGTCATTCTTTTTGTCTTTTTAAAGTGATGAAAATGCAAGAAAAGCTCTGAAAAACTTGCCTGCATTTCCTACCAAGACTTTGCAGGAGCATCCTTCACTTGCCTATTGGTAAGACCTAATTGTTAAATTTACAGGTGCATCCAGTGGTGAAATCCTCCAGGGTCTGCCACTGGATCGCTGCGCGTGCATGCACACCACAGGCGCTATTGCGCAGCGCGGAAAAAGGAGCTTCTTGAAGGTAAGTAGAACAGTGAGGTGGGGGAACAGCTGTGTCGCGCAATTTGGATTCGCTAGAAAGCAGAATTTTGCACAAAATCACGCAGCACAGCTGATAGTTTGAAATACCGGTTCGAATGATTTTTTTACTATTGGTTCATCCGAACTGTTAGCTTTTATTACTACCGGTTCACCCGAACTAGTGCGAACCGGTAGCATTTAACCCCTGGGTGCATCATATTAGGATCCTGGTCTTTTCTTTGTATCCTCCTTCCTTATTAATTTGTGAACTATTGACAGTAATATCCAAGGTCACCTAGTGGGAAAAGCTTTGAATGCAAAATGGCTGTTGTAAAGCTTGTGTTACAAGTCACAAAAAACAACAGTTTTTCAGAAGAAAAACTGGTGTGGTTGCTCCTACCAACCCCTCTAATTCGTTAATTAATCTCCTCCCAAGATTTTCAGCTCTATTCCAGTTTACCTTTGTCTTTTTTCTGGGCAGGTGGGCAAATTTCCAAACCAAGCATCATTTTTAATGCTTACAAAGCTTACATGGAACCCAAAGGCATTTTTCTAAATACAGATAATACTGCAGGATAAACACCTTGTGACATAACATCTCCCTATTTATTTCTTTTTAAATTGAAAGAATATTAAAAACATAGAAACCATATGGAAAGTGAGGCCTTGCTTTCTCCCAGAAATATTCCATAAGCATTTTGGTATCCTTCTGCTTTATAAAATAAAATACACTGTCTCCTGAACACATTTTAACACCCTGGTATTATTATGGCACTCTTGAACTTTTCTTGCTATTCTGATTGCTTGAAAAATCTATCAGACAAATAAAATTGTATTTCATCCGAACTCTGGAAATAAATGCTACCAAAGTTTAGGAGGCTATGAGTATATTAGAGTCCAACTTCGAGATTTAAAAATAAATTTACTTGCTTAAGAGAACAATATCCATTTTTATTAATAAAAAAACATACAATATCCCACTCCAGGTAGACCTCGACTTATAATCACAATTGAGTCCAAAATTTCCATTATTAAGCAAGAGATTGCTAAATAGGGTGAGTTTTGTCCCCTTTTATGGCCTTTCTGGCCACAGTTGTTAAGTGAATTACTTCAGTTGTTAAGTTAGCGATATGGTTGTAAAGTGAATTTGGCTTTTCCATTGACTTTGCTTATTAGAAGATTGCAAAAGGTGATCACATGACCCCGGGATACTGCAACCGTCATAAATACTAACCAGTTTCCCAAATGTCCGAATTTTGATCATGTGATCATGGGGATGCTTCAATGGTTATAAGCATGAAAAACAATGATAACTCACTCTTTTCAGTCACTAAACAAATGGTTGCAAGTTGAGGACTACCTGTACATAAATAAGAAAGAAATGTACGTCTACTAGCCACCCTTCCTAAAAGAGTCTCAGTTTGCAATCTTTGATAACAGCTAATCAGGATTATCATATTGAATACTGAATAAAACTAAACATCTTAAAAACATGACTAGGATTGCAGGTGAGTAAAACTGAGGTGTTTTGAGCCACTGAGACCATTTTCCGATACTGTAAGAACATTTGCAAATGGCATTTTGGTTTCTAGTGAGCTTCGGTAACCGATGTCCTCCAGAGAGTTGAGTCTGCAACTTCCAGAATTTCAGGTCAGCATGGTGGATACACCTGGAGAACACAGTGTCAGGAAAAGCTAGTTATTAATTATAGAGCTGTTTCCAGGCTTCCTTGTGGCAAAGTTTTGTAATAAAAAATATGCTGCTGTCTTATCATTAAAAGTCCATCATTGTCAAGTTGTTATTGTAAAATTTTCTTTACATAATCAAGCTTCTACATGAATTTAATGAAGAATAATGCAAAGAATAGTCTGTGGCTATTATAGTTTATGATAGCTTAGCCCTTTGGGTTGTAATCCTGGGCATGGTTATGCAAGGATTTTAGAAGCCTAACCATACAGTGGAACAGCCTTTGTATGTTTCTGGTAAGTCATTAGCTTTTTCTGTAACAATGATAGGTCATAGAAAAATTCACAAAAGTGAATTTCTTGGGAACCCCAAAAGTAGAACCACTTACTTAGAGCCCAGGGATATAATACAAGATAATCTCTTGTTGACAAAGAAACAAAATCTTGCTTGTTTCAATTCCCCTTCATATAATCAGACCTGCACATTTTTCATTGTGGCATAATAAAGGAGTCGTAATACTTACCAGGTTTCTATTTTTCCTTGGAAGAGGTACATTTAATATCCATGTGGCATTACTTTCTGCAATACAGTTACTCAAATCACAGGTCATGCTTAAACTATAACTTGTGATTACTAATACGAACAATGAGTTCCTATAGTCATCTTGGGAAAATAGTGTAAGAGTTTTTGATGCAAAAAACTGTAAGTCCATTGGGCCCAACAGACTTTGTTTCACAACAATTGATGCTGGGAAAGCCACAGCCAAGGCATAAAAGTAGAAGTAAGTCCTCTCTATTGTTGCCTCCTAGTATAATGCCTCTATAAAGCAATCACAGCTATAGAGATTATTTCCTTTTAAAAGACATATTTAGGAATCAGCACTGACTTGAAGATTCATAGTCAAAAAAGGGGACGCGGTGGCTCAGTGGCTAAGACACTGAGCTTGTCGATCGAAAGGTCAGCAGTTCAGCGGTTCGAATCCCTAGTGCCACGTAATGGGGTGAGTTCCCGTTACTTGTCCCAGCTTCTGCCAACCTAGCAGTTTGAAAGCATGTAAAAAATGCAAGTAGAAAAATAGGGACCACCTTTGGTGGGAAGGTAACAGCGTTCCGTGTGCCTTTGGCATTTAGTAATGCCGGCCACATGACCACTGAGACGTCTTCGGAACAGTTATTGGCTCTTCGGCTTTGAAACGGAGATGAGCACTGCCCCCTAGAGTCGGGAATGACTAACATATATGTGCGAGGAGAACCTTTACCTTAGTCAGTCAAAATCCTAATTTCAAGAATGTGGAGAACGCGGGAAGAGATGTAAATTTATCTCATTTGAAGGTAAATACATTTTGCAAATTGATTAACAGTTTATAGCAGTGTTATTCCCCATGCTTGGCTGAGGAATTCTGGGAGTTGAAGTTCACACAACAGAAAGTTGCCAAGGTTCAGAAAGTTTGGTCTATAATATTATATGTATGTGTACTTACCTATATTAATTAATTAATTAATTAATTCATTCATTCATTCCAACTTTGCTTGGATTAAAAGAGAACTGAATCTCTTGAAGCTCAGCTATTTTATGTTGTAATCTGTCTTGGAAGATTCTTCCAGAATAGCCAACTTAGTCTGTAAAATACATCTTTGGAGAGTTATAAGCTCTCCTTTCTCCCTTTGTTTCTAGAATATTGTGAATTCTTTTTTCAAGATTTATTTAAGTTAAATTTTATAGATGCTTGCCCATTTGGTCCATGTAGAATGCATAAGTGCATCGATAGCAAATCATTAATAATACTGGAAGATGAGCAAATGAATTGAATTCTAGTGTTATGGTTGCTAATATTAGTGTCACCAGTTGCCTTGTGGAAGTTCTTTACATTCATTTCTATATTTATAAATCCTTGGTGTCGAATTTGATTATACTGAATATTGTATATATTTGTGAATAAACCTATTCGTGGATGAGCCAACTCTCAAATTTCTAACTTTTAAAATACCATGAAAATTGCACCACCTACAGATACAGTAAGTCGATCCTTGAAATTTCCGTGTGTTTTAATTTTCATAATTGGCTTATCCAGGAGTAATCCGCAGCTTAACCATTTTTCATGGTGTTTTGTTTGAAAATTCAAGGATCAGCTTATTCAGGGATGGTCTTATAAGTGAATATATTTGGATATACATTAAGAAGCATTACTGTATATTCTTATGGATAAATCCATCCATGGATAATGCGAACCCAATTTCTGGAATATATTTTGGTATCTAAAATTCTCAGTTATTCATGAGTACATAATGTATTTGTCTAGTTTCTACTCATTCAAAAAGTATTCAGGCTGACCTCATTTTTGATGCTCAAGAAACAAATGTAATCAAATAAGATAACATACCCTTTTTTTCACCGTGGGATGTGGAGAGGAAAAAGAGGAAAAGAGAGACATATTAGTCATGATTGTTAAACCATATTCCTTCACAGAGCAATATGGAAAATGTTTCAAAACTCATGACCATGTTCATATCTTCACCACCTTATCTCAATCATTTTGGAAGTGCTTCAAGCTTAACATAGTTCAATTTTAAGGACACAAGCGTGAAATCTTCCAAAATTGTTGAAACAACCCATCTCACATTTAGGACAGGAGATTTCCACTTTTTTAGATGGAACAGACAGAGAGACAGCAAATTTAATGTGGATTGCAGATTTGAATCTGGGATTGCCTTGGTCCCATACCACCACATTAACCTTTTTATCACAGGATAATTTTGTGGTAAATAATTTCACTGTCATTATGAGATTACTGCCATATGCCTCAAATCATACAACAAAATAAAAGGTTTTGCTTTTGCCCTGTCTGCAAATCATTTAAACTGTATTTAGGAAAGGAAGGAAGGAAGGTGTGTGTCTCAGTGTATGTGTGTGTCAGAAAAACCCAGTCATTAATCTTGCTGGGTAGGAGTAATCAAAATTGTAGGCCAGCATATCTGAAAGGCATTGGGCAGAGGCTGTGTGTGTGTGTGTGAGAGAGAGAGAGTGAGTGAGTGAGTGTTTTACAAACTGATATAGCTCTGCTAACTTTATAGCCACTGCAGCTCCCTTTTTCCACAGTTTTTATGAAATGGCGCACATCCAGGCTATAGAGTATTTTCTCTAGAAGAGGCTTAACCTGTAATTCCATTCTGTGCCATCCTAAACTCGGAGCATTCATTTTGTGGATAGACAGAACGTATAGGGGATATGCTTTACAGAGAGATTCTGTGGAATGCTTTGTCTGGCCTGGACGCATTTGGAGCAACATAGGATCTAAAACCCTTCTTCCTCTGTTAATAAACTCTTTTTGCTTTTTTTCCTCAGTGAGGACAGAGTCATCGAACATTACATTAAGAACAAGGGGCTGACTAGAGGACAAGCGATTGTTCAGTAAGTGTTTTATTCAGCTCTTTTAATGGTCTGTTGGCAATGAGACAAGGCAATGAGATGCAACCAAGGATTAACTGATAAAAGGCCGCTTAGCCCCCTCAGCAGGAATGCGGGGCAGGCAAAGGTGCAGAAGAAACCCTCTCTAATTTTTAGACTGTAGAGAGGAGGGAGGAGAAGACCTGTCAGACTTGCAAGATTCTGTTAATGTAACCTTACCAAAAAAAAAAAAAAAAAGCAGAATTGGCTCATCTGGTTGTGTTTCCTATCCGGTTTACCTCATAAGGCAAACATCTATTAATGTGAGAGGTTACAGCCAGGGGTGGGCTGCTGGAAGTTCGCATGGCTTCGGGAGAACCTCTAGCTAAGATTCTGTGCAGTTCGGAGAACCCCCAAATCCCACTCTTGGTTGGCCCCACCTACCCCGCCCCTCCCAGGAGTCCCCACGTGGCCAGTTTTGGATGCAGGTAAGTGCAGGGCGTGCACAGAGGCTCGGGGAGGGTGAAAAACTGGCCTACCGGAAGTTCGGGAAGACCCTTTTCGCCATCCCAGTGGCTCAAAGAAAGCCTCTGGAGCCTGGGGAGGGCAAAAACGCTGCCCCGCCATGATGCAGGCCGACTAGGCCAGACCCACCATGACCACACCCACCCAGCAACTGGGCAAAGAACCCCTTGCTAAAATTTTTGAAGCCCACCCCTGGTTACAGCACAGAACAGATTTCAGCCCTTTTCTGAACTATTGACAACTATTGTGATTGAGGCTGACACTTTCTGAGTACAGTCATCCATGTAGTTCCAAAGCTTGTTTTGGTCCTATCTCTGAAACATTTCAGACTGCCTCATTATCTTTCAACACATTGCTCTTCTTCCTCCGTGTCCCTGCTGTCCTCTCACTTGGGGTTGATAGCATATTTATCCACTGAACAATGCCTTTCAACCTAGAGATAGAAACCAATCCAGCAGCAAAAGCTGTAAAAGCAAATGTATCCTATGAGTGGATGCTTAGCAGATCAGGCCTATGGGAGTTTTATTGTTCAGATTTATGTCATGCACTGTATTGGAATAAGGGAATGAACTTGGGAAAAGGCGGGGGAAGAGATGCTATATAGGAAACAATCAGATAACGAGGCAGTAGCCCCCCCCCCCATAGATTAACAGTTAGAAGAAGAAACTTAGACAGGACATGTCCTAATTGATCAAACACTTAAAATTGGAGGTGAGAAGTTTTGTACTGTTGGACTTGCAAGATTTATGTAGCCTTACAATAAAGTAGATTTAACTCATCTACTCTTGTTTTCCTGTCTGGTTTACTTGGGAAGGCTGACATTCACTCAAAGTAGCCAAGCTACATTTACAATGAAGCTGATTTAGAAGAGCCGAACGCTCCCAAGAGCTAAACTTGGAAAACATTCTAGACTAGTATTGCAGAGAGCTCAATTGCTAGAATTGAAGCCAAGTTCTTGATGGAATTCAGTTGTTATAACAAGGGAATACTTTCAGGGAAGTACCTGGCAACCCTGAGAGCTTCAGGGGGATTGAGGGCAGAAGGGGGTTTTATATATATATATAAAAAAGCCTGGTTCTAGTTTAATAATCTCCTTTGAAATGTTAACTAGTTTGTTGCTGTGCTTGAACTTGTTTGTACACAGACTATTAATGTTGATTGATGCTTTATATAATTAAAGCATCTAAAACATTTTGATGTGAAACCTAAAATTCTTCCCAGAGTCCCTCTGTGAAGCAGTTGGGCAGTTTCAAAATTTGATAGATAAAATGAATGAATGAATCCAAAGACATCACTCAGGTAATGTGTATTAGTAGAAGATATTACTGAAGAAGCTATATATCTGTCCATGCAGGTACATGAAGTTGGTTGAAGCTCTGCCTACTTATGGAATCCATTATTATGGAGTGAAGGTTAGTGAGTACTGGAAAACAAAACTGAGTAAACTGTCTGTTGTATGCATTTTTTTTCTTTTAATAAAAGCAGCTCATTTGAACAAGTAAGGAGATGCCCTCATGTCACAGTGCCCCATTTAAGGACTTTTTACCTTTTCAGCTCAGCTCTTTTTCCCTTTTTCAGATCATGAGAATGTTTTAGATCCTCTTCATCCTTCATTCTCTTCAGAAACAAGGGCTTTACTCATACAGCTGTTTGTGATTTGGCTTCCCTGGATCCACCTTAAGCACTTTGAGTAGAGTCTGCATGAATGCAGATCTTACACTTAGGTGATGGTTTTCAATAATCATTCATCTGACGGATCAGGAGATGGCAAGGACTTTGGCTTAAGGTCCTGGAGAATTGCCAGTCGCAGGAAATAATGAAAGACTACATGAACATGGAGCGTCTTTCTTTGTTTTTAAGAAATAACAAAAATAGGGCAGGAAGGGCATTGTTAACGTATTGCAAGATTTAACATGTTAATTTTTCATTTAGAATGTTCTGTCTGTTGCCTAGCAGACAGTATTTAAGTTCCTATAATTTATTCAAGAGGTGCTTTTTCTTTAACCCCATTCAGAGCTACAATGTTAGTTGATTAGACTAAATAGCATTTTGCATCTCTGGGAATAAAACCTCCAGAAGCTAGTACTTACATTACATTAATGGGGCTAGCATTCAAGGAGATGTACAGTTATATTAATAACAAAGCAAATAGATCCATGCCATCTGAAACTGCACTCAAACTGTAATGAGTTTGCTGAATATGTATATGAACAGTAACATTCCTATTCAGACAGTCTGCCAGAGGCATAGATACCATCTGGGCATACTCGTGCTTTTCTCTACATGCAGATTGACCCTGTGTAGCGAATGAGCACTTTTTCAAACTTTTCAAAAATGTCTTGTGTTTCACAAATCTCCATTTTGATAGGGAATTTAGAGATCCCATTCTTGAATAGTTTTTTTCCCCATGTTCGCCACATTTTATAGCCTCAGTAAAATTGTAGAACCTTTTCATTTTCATGGAATGCTCATGTTGACACTATGGGTAACAAATATTCAAGAATAGAGTGGATTAAGAGCTGTGGTGGCGCAGTGGTTAGAATGCAGTACTGCAGGCTACTTCTGCTGACTGCCGGCTGACTGCAATTTGGCAGTTCCAATCTCACCAGACTCAATGTTGACTCATCCTTCCAAGGTCGGTGAAATGAGGACCCAGATTGTTGGGGGCAATATGCTGACTCTGTAAACCACTTAGAGAGGGCTGTAAAGCACTGTGAAGCGGTATATAAGTAAAAGGGCTATTGCTTTTTGGGCCTGATGGATGTGCTAATTTGTTGGTATCTACTGGTATTGGTAGTTGGTATCTACTGGTATTGAAGAAATTGTGATGGAGGAGCAAAAGCCTTCCATTATTGAAATTACTGTTGGCAATTTCCCAGCACAACTGTCAGTCCTTTCAAATGGGGCCTTCTGGGGATGGCATTGGAGCTATTAGACCTAAAGCCACTCTGTCCCCCGGGAGGATTACAATAGCAGCATCTTATTTTTAGCAGATTAGAATGGCTTTCCAAAATTTCCTTCTAAAATAAAACGAGCGAAAATCACTTTTCTAGTTTTAGGGGGGGGGGAAATGGAGTCAACTCCACACATAAATTGTGCTTCCTTAGTTCTCCTTTAATTTATTTTTGCTGGTTTCTAGATAGAGCTATTTGGTTAATTTTAGCCACAAACAATTTAATAATACAGTAATTTACCCCACTCCTCCCCTTCTTTTTGTTGTACTTTTGATGACTTCATGGACAGGTCTGTGCATTTTTCTTGGCAACCTGCAGTAGTGGTATTATCACTGGCCACTTGCCAGGATGTTTTTCAACTTTTTAATCTAGGGATGAAAGAAAGTAACTGGCCCAAAGTCACCCAACTCTCCTCCATGCTTAAGGAAGCACCAGAACCTGTATTTCCTTACTCCTGGTCCAGCACCAGGATATCTCACTAGCTCTTTTAACATACTTTACAAAGTTGCTTTAAAAAGTTATGGAAATAATGCCTTATTGCAGAGTTCCCCAACCGTTCTAGGTTGGCAGTTCGGGGGGGGCGTGTGCGAACGGGGCAATGGTAGCGGCCCCACGGTGACTTGAGCACAAGCGGGGGGAGTGTGCGCACCCCGCTAGCCAGTGGCCAATGGGCTGCAGCCCACAGGTTGGGGACCTCTGCTTTATTGTGCAGTACTATGATTTACTGTTTTGTTGCTTGAAAAAGAGCTCCTCCAAAACCATTCTCACCAACATTGACGGAGTAAGCCACTAGAATATAAATTGAGAGCAAACCCAACTCCTTACTAGCACTGATTATGTTACCTAGTTTGGTAATGAAATGTCTGCAAGAAAACAACCCAGCTCAGAGAGCACCAAGGACCCCTCATTTCAACTTTGAACTACAAATATTCTTCTTTATTGGAAAGACCTCTGTGGAAGATGAAATCTGGTGCCCTCACCAAGAAAATATGTCAGCCCGAATTTTCTCTTCAAATAAACAATAACTATTTGCTCTAACCTTCCACTTTTTCACATGTGCATTTAAAGTAATTTATGGACTTTAAGATGAATAAAGTGTACGTCTGAGTAAATATATATGGAACTGTGCAAAGTGTGTACACAGCCCATTCCTTTCTCTCAACAGTTCAGCCTTATTTTGGACTTGTCCCTCATCGAGTCTTCTTTTACTGTTGTTGCTCACCTCCCACAGATTTTCTTCCATGTCTGCCCCACCTCTAGCCATGGTTTCAAAGAATACAGCAGCTTCTCTTCCCTTCTGCTCTGTGGCTGTTTGCATAGCATCTTCCAGCTGGGAAAGGAATAGCAGACCCCTTCAAACAATAAACCTCCTCTGTCAGCTGCAGGTGTGCTAACAAAGGGCTGCCTTCATCTCTGTAACCTGCTTATACTTGTTGCAGGATGAAGTAAAGAAACTTTATATCAACTCTGAAGTTTTTTGACTCTTGCTAAAACCTTAGAACTTCTGTTCTTCTCTGCCATAGGATAAACAAGGCATCCCGTGGTGGCTTGGGATCAGTTATAAAGGAATTGGCCAGTACGATTTACAAGATAAAGTCAAACCAAGAAAAGTAAGTCCATCTGCATATATGTGCATATGTCTTTGTAATATATAAGTGGAAAGAGACCATATTGTGCCTTTTCTCCCCCCTGCCCTTCCCTTGTTATTCAGCAAAAGAAAAGTATTGCTTAATTCTAGAGCAGTTTCCCACAATCTGACTTTCTCCAGGTACATTGGACTACAGTTCACACCAAGGTGGCCAAACTGGGAATATGAGAATTATAGTTCAGTAAACATCTGAAGAACATCAGAATGGAGAAACTGTTCTAGTCTGTTGAAATAATTGGAGCCAGGAAAAATTGTTTTTAGAGTGAATGAAGCACATATTTTTTTTTGTTTTGCATTATATTTTAATTGTGTGTATGTTCCATGAACTGCCCAGGTTATTGGTCAGATGCATGAGTTGCCTCCCAGCAGGATCTGAAGTAGTAACCCACCACCATTTCTCCCTACTCTATCCCTGCAACTGATATTAAAAGATATTCTGTAAAGAGACAGGAAGAGTCCATATAGCCATCATGAGTTCATGAATTTGGCTAATTCATCATGAAATCATGATGGGTTTCATAGTTCAATGAAGTGTTGTCTGAAGAAGTCTGCCAGACCACTTCACTGATTGACTCTTGGTTCAAGTATCATATGACAGGGAGGAAAAATGTTTTCAATGCACTTCCGTGGTGAAATCCAATTTATTTTACTACTGGTTCTGTGGGCGTGGTGGGCGTGGCGTGGCATGGTTCTGTGGGCATGGCGGGCGTGGCATGGTTCTGTGGACATGGTGGGCGTGGTGTGGTGGGCGTGGCAGGGGAAGGATACTGCAAAATCTCCATTCCCACCCCACTCCAGGGGAAGGATATTGCAAAATCCCCATTACCTCCCCACTCCTGGGGGGAAGGATATTGCAAAATCACCATTCCCCCCCCCTCCCACTCTGGGGCCAGCCAGAGGTGGCATTTGCCTGTTCTCCGAACTGCTCAAAATTTCCGCTACCGGTTTTCCAGAACCTGCTGGATTTCACCCCGATGCACTTCCTTTACAACATGCATCATTTTATATTAAATTCTATGAAATAGATTAGGAACATGTTTTCTAAGTTAAATTGTTCCAACTTTTGCTTGGACAGATTAGGTTGCAAGGTAACTATTGTGATAGTTCCTGCCAAGTCAGAAAATCCCAACTGTGATGCCTTATTTATGCTTCTTTCCCTCCTCACAAATTCCTGCTCTTCTCTGAAATGCTAAGCACTTTTTCAAAACAACATTTTGTGCCTGCATATGAAACACAATCCCAACTGCTGCATTTTCTACATGAGAGTGCAGGGGACAAGAGGTACTTGTTCTGTTCCACACAAAGCTTGTTAGACGACTGAGATGGGGTATCTATACATAGAAGTTGCCTCATCATTATTTCTTGAACAAAGAATAAACATCTGGAATGAGTTCTGAAGACCTTGGGAATAAACTCAATGCTAGCTGTATAGAGAAAATTCAAACACATGTAGTTATTGTGCCATAGGGGAAACACACCTTATGTTTTTTTTTCTTCCCAGCCTTTCTGCTTTATGTTGAAATCCAAGCTGGAAGCTGCTTATTTTGATGTTCCTCTTGTCCTCAGAATATTTTAGGTTTAACAGCTTGTACATGTTTTCTTTTCATTGCACAATTTGCTCTCCTTGGAACATAAGTGACGCCTATAATGGAGTGATACATCTAGTTAGCTTTCTAGAAAATAGTTACATCTTCAGGAACCCCAATGTGTGGAGAAGTAGATAGATCAGATCTTCTGAATCTGTTTTGTCTCCTGTCCTTGTTAACATTTACATAAAGCAGACAGAAAAGTTCCTGTAAAATATGGGGGTTGGGAGTTACCAGCTCCTTTTTTTTTCCCAGATAGGTGAGTGAATGAGAAAAATGATTTCAATCCTGTTAAAATGTCATCCTGATGTTCAAGTTTCTTAGGAGATTGGTGTGCAGCCTCTCTAACAGAGTAACATAATATATGAGAATCAGCTTGCACACTTTCTTGTCCTGTAATTGCTTCACTTCTAGCTCTTGATTCCCCATCACTGCATACAGTACACACCAGACAATGGCTAGAAACTGCACCGCCAGAATTGTTAGATTTATTTATACAAATTTACATACAATGTATAGGTCTGACCATCTTTCTTCCACGACACAGGAAAGCTAAGAATAGATTAAAATCAAAGCAATAAAACCCAGCAAAAATAGGTAGCATGGGACCTTTAATGCAGTGGAGCCCCGCAGCAACATTCATCCTACAGATATAAACCATGCAACTAGGCAAACTTTAGATGTCAGCTCAAGGCCTGTGAGAATAGCTAAGTTTTAAAATACTGATAAGGTTGGAGCCATCTGGATCTCACAAAGAATGGTATTCTACAGGATAGGCACTGCAAGAGATAAAGCATTTTTGAGCAGTTTGAGGGAGAACAATGTGGGAATAGAAGCAGCATGTCTCCTCCTGCCTTGATTCACGTTAATTCTCCCCAAACAAAGCCAAATATTTCTGTTCTTTCCCTTCTTGAGAAATTAATATGGTATCTTGCTGCTATCTGGGAAGTCAGGAGGTTGAATTGTGTTTCCTGCTCCTTTCCAACTTTCACATTTAGAATTTTCTGATTAAATCTATTAAAGTCATTGTATATGGGGTATACTTCATCCACAGTGAAGGTGAAGTCAATGGATTCTAAGAAAAATTCTAAGAACATTCTTCTCTTCAAAGGTTCTAAGCAGAGATTATCAAATTCACTCCATCAAAATGTGACCCTGATTGGTGTGTTGTTGATGATGATGATGCTTTTGGATTCATTAACGTTATTTCTGAAACTAAGCAGAGACTGGATAAATTTGGGCTAATGTTCACATTAAAAACTAATAATCCAAATTTAGACCAACTATAAACCACTAGTTATTTTTAGGATGAAAATGAATCTGACATGCCCCTGCTTCCTAAACTTAAGTTTTCTATTTCAAATTTTATTTATCATTTTGCCCTGAACATCACGTCAGTTTGTCATGGCATTCTCAGTACATTTATTCACAAAAGAAGGGGGGGGGAATTACAAACTATATAAATGCAGTGTGAATAAAGATATAAATAAGGGAGATTTGACAATACCACCAAGCTTATGTTTGTTGATATATTACAAAGCCAATCAGTTGAGACAGCTAATATTATTTCTGGGGATGATCAAAATAAACTGTGGATGGGCAACAGTTGTTTCTCTGGGTTTAAGAAAGGACACACTATTAATGATCATTGGACCTCCCCAGTTGCCCTCATAAGTATTCTCAGTACGTGAAACTGAAGCTACATGGATGTACCGTTTGAGACAAACATGGCTTATAAAAGCTCAGCAGAGAGTAAACTCAAAACTGTTTGCAAAGTCACACCAAACTCAAAAGAAATTTCCTAGATCCAGAATTTTATATTCAAATTAGAGGTTAAGGAATAATGTTTGACTATTATTACAATAAGGGATGCGATGATTCAGTGGCTAAGACGCTGAGCTTGTCGATTGAAAGGTCGACAGTTCAGTGGTTCAAGTCCCTAGTGCCGCGTAACTGGGTGAGCTCCCGTTACTTGTCCCAGCTTCTGCCAACCCAGCAGTTCAAAAACATGTAAAGAATGCAAGTAGAAAAATAGGGACCACTTTTGGTGGGAAGGTAACAGTGTTCCATGCACCTTTGGCGTTTAGTCATGCCGGCCACATGAACATGGAGAGGTCTTCGGAACAGCTTTGGCTCTTTGGCTTTGAAACAGAGATGAGTACCACCCCCTAGAGTCGGGAATGACTAGCACATATGTGCGAGAGGAATCTTTACCTTTATCTTATTACAATACAATAAGAGATCATGAGAGAGTGTTTTCCAGAATATATGAGAAATAAATTCACTGGAAGGGCTTACATCATTCTTTAAGAAATGTGGTTGGTTATCAGAAAGACCACATTGAACAAAACAGTCTGCAAGGCTCTGGAGTCTGGAGTATACATGCAAGCAAAAGAATTAAAAAATATGCTCAGTAAAAAAATTTGGATCATTGTTTGAATACATCAGGCAGCTGTCAGACAGTCTTGACCATAACTACCAGTGCAGCATGTAATGTTTTTGCAGGATCAAATGGCATTGTGGTTTTTAATGAATGGATAATGTGTTATTATTTCTTGGCCTGGAACTTGTCCAAGAAACTAACATCTTAACATATGCAATTGAAGTAGGTTTGTCGATGAAGATTCTCAGTCATCCAGGTAGCATTATCTGGAAGCTGAATCATAGCAACTGAACTTCTTTCTTTGTTGGTTCGAAAGATTTTGCTACTTATCCAAGTAGCTTCTTCAATCTGAGCAAGTTGGTTAGGGGTACCCTGTATATGTCCTCCAGGGAAATTTCATTTCTCACCTAATCTGGGCAAGCTCCAGTGGTGGGTTGCAACCGGTTCGCCGCGGATTGGGTGAACCGGTAGCTGCAGCGGCAGGAGGCTCCACCTACCTGCCTGGATGTCTCTGCGCATGCGCAGAAGCTTCTGCACATGCACGGAAGCTCATGCGAGCGCCCATGAGCGAACCGGTAGCAATGGGGTTTCAAACCCACTACTGACAAGCTCCTTTGGTGAGTAAGCAAAGAGTCATTGGGATGTAAATGTTCCAACTCCTAAATCCTTACCCATAGGCGGATTGTTAAGAGTGATCTCCCTGGTGAACCTTTGAAGTGGTCTTAAGTCTTTCTGGAGACTAATGAAAGAGCAGCATTAAAAAATGGGAGTACAGGTTGTGTTTGAAGCCTCCACCCCTATTGAGGGAAAGATTTTCCATTTTGACCCAAATGGATTCCTTACATTTCTTTCCTCTTCCTAGTTTCTTCTGTAAGATCTTGAAATGGCCCGATTTATCCGAAAGATCCTACTGTTTTGAGTTTTGCACGCTCAGTGTTACATTATTATTTAACACAACACAGTTAAATATAACATTTAAAGGAGAAAAATACA